TCGCTTTGAATTGTCGGTGCCTCCGAAGAGGTGCGTCATTTGACGACCAACTGCCCGTGGTGGGGCCGGCTTGGAGGTATGTCGGTTGCTCTGATTTTTTTTTTCTATTTTTTTTTATACAATCAACAGTTATATTAATATATTTTGCTTAAAAAAAAGAGTACCGAGTTCAATTTGAATAAAAGTTGATCCAACCAAACCTAAATATTTTGGCAAGCCTAAACATGCAATGGTAAAAATATATAGCATCATGGAAACATGATGCAAATCCAAGCTTTCACAAATAACAAAATAGAAAATAAATTGTCTTAAAAAAATGAAAAAATTTAGAATTATTTAAGCAAGATATTGGACAATGCAATTGAAAACAAATAGTTGGATAAGACCATAGATGTTGATCATCTTAGACACGCACCAACCAACAAAAACAGAGACATCCTAATTTCACAAAAATGGAAATTAATATGATGATTCAGAGTTTAGACTATTACTTACAAAGAGGAGGCTCCGCATGAACAAAGGCCTCTTCATACCGTATCTCTAAATAATGTTTTCCATTCTACTTGCACAACTCAGTGCTCTAAGTTCCCTTTTTCTTACCGTGTGCCTTTTCTCTACCTCAATTTATTATTCGAAGTCAAAAGTAGCAAACATGAACAACGCAGTGTCTTTGAATTGTTGACCTCTAATAGGGCATAGTAAATAGATTCAACGTCTGACACACTCTCGTGAAAATAAAATAGAACCAATTGTGGAAACAATGTAAAATCGGTAAATATATTGCTAGCTATTAAGAAAACTCACCATATCTATCCTGAAACTCAGGAGTACCCTGCAAAAATTCCAATCCAGGATGAGTTGCCAAAAGTTCTCTCAGTATGGGTTTGAAGTCCTCCTGTACCAAATCATTTTAATCCACTTAAAATTATAAAAAGAAAAAAAAAAGATCATAAAGCCACAAGGGCTTAAACACATTGCTGAGTAGAAGTGTATAAGTTACAAGACAAATATTTGCATGCATAAAAGGCTGCAGCAGATCGTTTTAATTAGAAGCCAAATAATAGATAAAAGATGTTTAAGCCAAAAATAGGGGTAGAAAAACGGAAAAAAAATGTTAAACTGACCTGAATAAGGTAGCTGCGATCTGAGTGCTTCAAAATATTAAATACTTGAGCTGCTGTATCCATGGTCATCATATTACTATTCATCCAGTAAGCAACAAATGCATCCCTATAGTTATACCAAAATCATGCGGCTTAGAAATGCTACAAATTAAAACACCAAAAACAAAACAAATAATTACAGCAACATCAAGGAAAAAGAGGAGAGCTTGAAAGCAATAACTACAACAACCTCAAAAATAAAATTAAAAAAAGCTGCTAGCAACCACCAAGATTTCCCATTTTTTTATCAACACAGAACCTCCTATCCCAAAAGTTAGCATAAGGTTGCCTATGATGAATGATGATAACGAAGACATTGATTCACATTATAGCATTCATTACATCATGGAAATATGAATCTTCCTCAATCTGAATACACTAGGTGACGCAACCTGCACAGATAGGAAGGACAAAAGGACGGAAGAACTCACAACCAAAATATTTATACAGAAACAGAACTGAAGTATATTCTGATAGAGTTGCCAACATAGATGAGCCAAACACTATGTTTCAAGCTATATAGACAAAAAAACTTTAAAACTCCCAAATATTTGACACTGGGAATCCCCTGTAGTTAAACTTATAGTTCAGCACATCAACTTTCAAGCCAAAAAATGCTTAGAAATTTCGGGTAAAAGATGATTTGCACACCTCTTTACAAATCCAGTGCCTTCAGCATCGATCTTTCTGAAAAGAACACTAGAAAAAAATGTTGGCAGCTTGCAGATTTCTTTTGTAACTGTTTTAAACTCTAGCAGCAGATAAAGGAACATAGATCACCTTCTAGAATGTGGTTCAACATAAATAAAATATAACTAATAAACCAGGTATGCATTGACCGTGAATTTGCAATCCGTCTAATTTTCCAGAGAAAATCTGAGCAATTATTTCCAAGCTCTGCATTTTTAGTTCTTTTGGAAGTGGTCGTCCATTCCGAAAGTAGAACTGTCCAAATTTGACGGAGATGTCAAAATAATATCTAAATGCAAAATAATAATATTCACATTAGTTGAATGTCTTCTTATCTTAAGAATTTATCTTTCATGCACTAATAGTTACAATAGACTAAAAGGTGTTTCGACTACAAATACTAGAGCATAAGTGTCATCAGAAGCTTATACCTGAGGAATGACTTCTTTCTCTGGCTCGGTAACTAATTTTAATGGAGATCCAAGGGATGACGGTCCAGCACCTAAACCACGTTTTATGAAACGAGGAGATCCAGAACTACTCCTGGGTGAAAGAGGTGGAGCACTGCCAACAGGGAACATAGCAGGCAAGGCATTGCCGGTAGCAGCATTTGTGCCAACACCATTGCTAAAATTCAATGGCATGCCCGCTTTTGCATCGTCCATTAAAGATTTCACCTATATGCCAAGACGAACTTTTCAAATACAGTCAAATAGACAAATAGCGGGATTTCATCAGACATCCCATGAAGAGAAAAGGGAAAAGTAGGAAAATTAATTTACAAACATATAAAGTGAATCCTGATAGGGAAGCCTAATGAAGATTACAGTCAGCCATCGAGCATAGCATGTCATCATATATGAAGATACACCACAAAGAAGCGGCAAAGAAATGTTTGATTGCGGCACCTTGCCAAGTAACTCATAGGTGGATTGACAGAAATCTTTGAAAATCTAATGTAAACCACAGGAAAATATGTGCAATTTGCCAGCAAAAACTAGCACTCAATAGTAACCAAACAAGCAAAGTTACAATTTCAACGTTACATTCAAATTATATTAGCTCTAGTATCACCCCATAATCTTGGAGCAGACGTGAACCATCATTAAGGAGGAATGCATTATATCTATCTTAGAATAATGATCTGATATAATTTTAATTCAAGCTAAATAAAAAAGATACATATATTCAATGTTAACAAAGTGCAATAGCATTCAACAGAATAGTTTCCACAGAGCTAGCTAAAGATTTAACCAACATCTGGATGAAGCAACTCTAATGCAATATCAGTCACAACAACAACAATAACAAAATCAAACATTTGTCCCACTACGTGGGGTCGGCTACATGAATCATTTTTCACCATTGTGTCCTGTTACAAGTCAATTTCTCATTTAAATCTAATAAAGAAAGACCATTTCTAATATTTTCTAACCAAGTCTTTTTAGGCCTACCTCTACCTTTCTTAACACAAGTTAAATCTAATACCTCAATTTTACTAACCGGGTCATCGGAAGGCCTCCGTTTAATGTGACCAAATCATCTAAGGCGACTCTCTCTAATCTTATCTTTCATTGGAGCTACTCCAACCATTTCACGTATATGCTCATTTTGTATCATATCTCTAAGGGTAAAGCCACTCATCCACCTAAGCATCCTCATCTCTGCAACACTTAACTTAGTATTATGCTTCTCTTTTAATGGCCATCATTCGGCACCATAAAGCATTGCAGGTCTCACCACCATCTTATAAAATTTTCCCTTAATTAGAGGAAGGATTTTTCTATCGCCACAAACAAGCCTGAGTGCATTCCTCACTTCAAACCAATCCAACTTGAATAATGATACTAAAATATCCCCATCTATTTCACCATCACCCTGAACAATAGATCCAAGATATCTAAAACGTGTACTCTTATTAATGACTTGATCGCCCAAAGTCACAATTCCCTCACTAGGTCTATTACTACTAAAATTACACTCCATATATCCAGTTTAGATCTACTTCAAGCAAAAACCTTTAGACTCTAAGGTTGACCTCCATAAGTTCAAATTACCTTTCAACTCCCTCTCTAGTCTTATCAACAAGAAAATATCATCAGCAAAAAGCATGACACCAAGTACATCCTCTTGCAAATGTCTATTGGAACATCCATTACTAAAGCAAAAAGATATAGACTTAAGGCGTATCCTTAATGTAATCCAACAAAATAGAAAAATACTTGTCAAACCACCTTGTGTTTGAACACAAGTAATAGCTCATTGCATACATATCTTAATGATTTAAATATAAGCGTTTATCAACCCTTCTTTCAAGAACTTCTCTCATAAGCACTCTCTCTTGGAACTTAACATATGCCTTCTCCTAAATCAATAAATATCATATGTAGATCCTCCTTATTCTCTCTATATTTCTCCATCAAACCTCTCAATAAATGTATGGCTTCCATAGTATACCTACCCGACATAAATCCAAATTGATTTTGAGAAACATTAGTATCACACCGCAACCTACGCTCAATAACTCGCTCCCATAGTTTTAAAGTATGACACATTAACTTAATTCTTCTATAATTCACACACTCCTGTGCATCATTTTTATTCTTAAAAATAGGAATTAACACATTCATTCTCCACTAATCTAACATCATTTTAGTCTTCAAAACAGTATTAAAAAGTTTAGTAAGCCAAGAAATTCCTTCATCTCCTAAGCATTTGCACATCTCTATTCGAATATAATCAGGTCCAATAGCTTTTCCATACTTCATTTTCTTTAAAGCCTCTCTAACTTCGGTTTTACTAATACGTCAATAAAAGCAAAAATCTTTATTTTCATTTAGGGAGCTAAAGTCACTAAAGTCAATTGTATTTTCACATTCTTCATTAAAAAGTTTAGCAAATTATCTTATCCACCTTTGTTGAATATCTTCTAAGAAAAATACTTTTGATCTTCATCCTTAATAGAGTTCACTTGAACTAAATCCTTACTACTCCTATCTCTTTGTTTGACTAGTTTATGCATATATCTTTCTCCCTCCTTAGTACTAATCTATTATATAAATCATTAAAACCTGTTCTTTGCATCGCAAATAGATTTCTTAGATTTCTTACGAACCTCTTTATAGTTTTTCCAATTATCAAAATTTTTACATCTAACACAATTTTTATAACAACTTATTTTTTATCTTTTCTTGTACATTTGGATTCCACCACAAACTATTTTTACTTTTAGGAGTTTTTTCCTTCAAAACTTCAAGCACATCTTTTGCAATAATCTTAATATCACTAGTCACTTTTTCCCACATAACATTAGCATTTTCATGCACATACAAAATCTTCAGATATAAAATCTTACTCTCAAAAATACTTTTGTTAATATTATTTAAATGCCCCTATCTAATCCTAAAAAAATATTTTACTTTCTTTTTTTATTTTTTGCCCCATTATCTTGAAGTCAAAAACTAATAATCGATGTTGGGTATATAAATTTTCACTCATAATAACTTTAAAATTTTTGCAATCTAAACCATCAAATTTTCTTATAAGAAAATAATCAATCTGCGTTTTATTATATCCATTTTTATTAGTGATAAGATGATCATCTCTTTTCTTAAATAAGGTATAAGCTATTAAAATCATAAGCTAAAAAAAAATCTAATATGATCATACCACCTTCATTTGTCGTTCCAAACTCATGACCATTGTGAATGCTTTTAAAATCATCTACTTCTCTACCAACATGTCCATTTAAATCTCCTCCAATAAAAAAATATTTCTTCAAGAGATATCTTTTGTATTAATTCTTCTAAGTCATTCCAAAATTTTAATTTTGAACACATATCCAAAACTACTTGTGAAGCAAACACACTTATAATATTAACAATCTTAAGCATCAACAATAATCTTTAAAAATATAATTCTATCTCCAATTCTGTTAATTTTTACAATATTATCTTTGAAACTTTTATCTATAATCATACATACACCATTTCTAGTACGACTCCTACCCGAATACCATATTTATATTCTAAAATATCAATCTCCTTAGATTTATCTCTAACCTATTTAGTTTTCTGAATGTACAAAATATTTAACTTCCTATAAATCATAATATCTATTAATTCCATTAATTTTCCTATAAGGGAGCCTATATTCCAAGTTTTTATCCTAATTTTAGTTTCATAGGCTAGTTTTTTTGCCCACATACATCCTTGATGTGGGAACCGTTGCCTATTTAACACTGCACCCAAGTGCCAGTGCAATGTCCCTTGCACACTTGTCATTGTATTCAGGTCATACAGAGCGTCGCTTCCAAAGGACGCTCTAGCATTAACAAAATTTTTTAAAAAATTCATGTCATGATTAATCAACAAGTTTTACGCTGACTGTTGACTACCTAGCGCAACCCTCTACTTTTCTCATCTAGGATTTGGGACCTGGCAACGGCAGTGTTAATGCAATATCAGTCAAAATGACAAAATATTTACTAACATCTTAATATATATATATATATATATATATATATATATATCCTCATTCATGCTATGTGCAATACTAACTCAAATTAAACATCATAGTGAAGCTAACTGAACTAATAATAAAGTATTTTATGTACTTGCTAATTACAGCATACATACAACATGATTGAACCATTATAGTAATTCAATTTGATTATACAATCTCAAAACAGGCATACACATACTAATTTGTACTTGCTTAAAAAAATCAAAATAGTCATTGGACCATTTGTGTGGTCAATTTAGTCCCAAGATCACGTCACCTTAATTTAGTCTCTCAACTATACAAAAGTGATCACAATTTAGTCTCAAAGGGATCATTTTGGATCAATTTTGTATGGTCGAGGGATTAAATTAAAGAAACATGATATTCTGGGACTAAATTGGCCATATATGAATAATAAAGGGACTATTTTGAAGTCTACTCCAATACAAAAATGCCAATGCAAACCTTCAACTGACCCAAAATAAAATCATACTGCAAATGTATTCATTTGAGCTACCATATCATAATAGAGTTCCACCATTACCTCCAACACAATCACACATGATATGCAGTTACGCTACTGTTATATACATCCTCCCTGAAGAAGCTATATGACCAACTCTATCTTCCCTTACTTTCATTTTTGAATACCCGTGCAATGTGAAACTTAAAACCTCAATTTGTTTTATGGATTTAATTCATCAAAAGCATTTTGGTGCCTTGGGTCGCACCTTCTCAAGCAATTCATTTTAAAAAGGTGATCATTGTTGGGATTTGGAAAGCCTTCGGTCAGGAAGACATCAAGACGATCACAAAAAATTGCTAATGGTTTTCTTTTTTGTAATATTGATTAGGAAATAAGTGTGAAACTTCAGTTAAATGGTACTAAGGAACATATTTTTACTTCATTAGGTAAGCCATCACATATTCTTGCTCTTGCAAAACAGAAAGAAGCATATCATGCCTTCCCATCTTAATTTCTTCTTTTTCAACTTCTTCTAGAACCTGCTTTTCAAGTTCTTGAATATTTTTCCACAATGTTTTGAATTGCAAAGAAGCTAACATAATTGAAAATTTTAGACTTGAAAATTTAATCATTTTATAAATCTTTACCACATATTGACTGAGAAAATTCAATGAATTATGATATTACGGTCAACTTATTATTTTGATTAAAAAACCAAACATTTATTTTACAAAATTGTTATATATTATATATTGTAACATTATAAATAATCACATATTAAACAATTTGAATGATATTTGTTATAATTCTATGTTATATTTCTATCAGTATCTGTTGTAGGAGATATTATTTTATTTTATGCCAAAAAGGACCAAGTATGATTTTAATTACAAACCTTTTGATAATTTTTTGTGTTTTACTAGGAAATGGAAAGCACATTATGGATCTCAATTTTAACTATTAGTGCTTCTTAACAATAGTTACTTTCATCTTAATAAAGTAGTTTAGGAATGCAATGTATTGGTATCTGTCAAAAACACCAAATTCAAACTTTTTACATGATATTTTAAAAGGAGATACCTTACCAACATCTTCCAAGTAGCGGCATATGGTACCTAGTGTGCAGTTGATCTCAGATGTTATTTTGGGTCCAATTATGTCAGAAGTACCAAAGCTTTCAGCATGTACCATGTAACACAGCGCTTGAAAAAAGGAGTATGACTTAACACTAAACATCCATGACTTAAGTATTTAACCAGGTAGTGATAACAAATACCACCAAACAAAAAAAAAAGCAACAAACGCAAACTAAAGGACAATGGGAATTAGTATTAACTTGAATATTTGTTAAAAAAAAAAATCATTCCCTGGCATCAAAGATTACAACTCCTCTAATTCCAAGGATTCAATTTTAACAGTTCTGCAAATAATTATCAAACAACTGAATGCATGAAACAATTAGAATGAGATTGCGTCACATTCAAAATGAGCTCATCCTCAAGTTTTCTCCACCTCTAAAGGTTGATTATGCACTTCCTACAGATTCTGGTGTACAGATTCCTCGTCAAATAAAATGACACCCTCAACAAACATATTAACACTCTCAATACCAGAAAAAAAAAAGGAAGCACTACACTAAAAGAAGTGAGTGAAGCCAGACAAATAATAATGTAACCTTCCAGCATCTATTTTTAAAAACACTTGTATTCCAAAGCAACAACTCATATAAAGTCAAGTTTAAGCAAGTCTACCTCATCTTGAAATTTTGATTTCAGCTCAAATCGAGTTCGAGATGAGTTCAAATTGTTCGGTTGCAAGCCAATTTTCAAGTTGATTCAAGTAGAGACCATTAAATTATTAATACTTTGTTAGATCACTAATGTAGATATATAAGAATTGGTTGCAAGCCAAAGTGAAATTAGTATGATTCAATTCATGATTACATATCATATGATATATATGCAGCATTCACATGGTATATAATCAAGAATTGAATCAAACTAATTAAAAGTGAGTTTAAAGTTGCGCATTTTGTATACAATTATCAGCCCTAGCAACAACTAATGAACACGAAGATTGGGGAGTACACTAAGATTCATACCAGACGGACTGTCTCTGGAAGCGAAAGCCACTGAGAATAAAGCTGCTCCGCAATCTGAGGATTTTCCTTCAAGGCCAGAGGAGAAACCTCCGCGAGATGAAGCAACTCAGGGTCTAAGCAAGCACCATATTTCCATGGCTCCACATCCATCTCACCCATTATCACCGGATATCCACCAGAATTCAGAATATCAATCCTCAGCAACGTTGAAACACAAACCCTAGATCCTCATAGCACTCCATCAAAATCAAAGTCCCATTCCTACCTCAAGCTGGACGCTTTCAATACTTTCAAACGACCCTAGAAACTCCGCGTCGTCTTTATCGGAGAAAGTAGAAGCCTGGTTGACAGAAAGGAAGATGTTTTCTACAGAAATCTAGAACGAAGCGGAGATCGAGACCTACAGAGAAGGAGAGGTGGGCTTTTGAGGTTTCGAAACCCTTGAGCGGGAGGAAGCGGACGCAGAAAATGATTACCGTAATTTTTGTATATATATGCAATCCCTCTTCGTAATACCAGAACTAGATTTTAAAAAATGGCAAAATCCTTTCTTCAAATATTAAATCAATAAAGCCATATAAATAAATTTGGATATTATTTATTCCACATGACAAATTTATAAATTTTAACAAAAATTGTATTTTAATCTTTCTAATATATATATATTTGAAACCGGTGTATCTACGGCTGCCACTTCGGGGAGAGCGCTTGGCGACATAAATAATCTCTTGGCAGAACCTAGCGAGGCCACCTATCGGCATCGTGCCCACAGAGGGGATTCTAATCCGGGATGGGGTTTCCCAACCGTGCTCGCCCACCAACCACCCTAAGACTCTGTGGATCTTTCTCTCTCTCTCTCTCTCTCTCTCTCTCTCTCTCTCTCTCTATATATATATATATATATATATATATTATGTAAGCTAAAGATAATTAGGTTTATTATGAAAATTAATTATATTTTGATTCATTTAAAACTAAATTAAATTAACCCAACTGTATTTCAATTTGACTTAATTTTGTTTGAAAATTTATTTTGGTAAGTTTGATTTTTTTGAAATTTACAACTAAAATCAATTAGTCTTATCTAATTCATAATCCAAATCACCAAACCAAATCAAATGTCTGAAGATATGCATTTATAATATTAAAACATTATTGCTCAAAATTATTAATCCATCATTAATGCTTTGTTTGGGACGATTTTTTTATGCTTCTTAAAGCAATTTTTAGTTAAAAAATTTTAATTTTTGTGCTAAAAGTTATTTTAAGAAGCAGTAAGAAAGTCGTCCCAAACAAAACCTAAGTTTCACATCAAAAATTTATTTCTCCACTCTTTAGTAGCATATCATTCACTATAAATATTCTCTGACTCAATCTAATTTGTAATTGGAATATTCAAAAAATATGCATTTGTTGTAAAAACTTGTAATACAACAAACAAAAAATAATAGCCTTATGTTATTTAGCTACCAAAGAATACATAAATAATTCATTTTCCTAGTGGCAATGTCTTATTTTTATTTTCATCCCAAGATACACATGATGACGGGGGTAACTACAAATGTTTATTAGTGGGGCATAAATTAGTAATTTTTAAAATGCCGTTAATATTTTATAAGTGATTTATTTTACTTTTTCATTTAATATTTAGTAGTTAAATAATATTTGATGTTTAAAAAAATCAATATTTATTTTGAATAAATTATTAAATTATATATTATATTAGTTGTATTACATAAAATGGTATATTATCTTATTTCACTTTAATTTTTAGGATTTAATTTTATTATTATTATTATTATTATATAATTTTTATTGATGTAAATTTTAGATTTTTCAAATGTAATATTTATGAATACAATTATTATTATTCTTTGAAAATATCTTCATAAATGATCAATAAAGCAAAAATAGTTTTATAAAATTTTATGATGACTTAAGTATAATAAAGTAAATAATTTTTACATGGTCAGAAATTATGGTAAAGTGGATGAAGGCTATTTTAAGAAACAAAGAACCCATGTTCTTATCCCTATGAAAGTGTTTTTCTTTTTCATTAGAATTACTTTGGGCTTTTTTTGATGGGCCAATGGAAGCCCATGCCTTTGGGCCCTAACGCTAGATCCACCACTATGTAGTTATTTGATATTGAAGTTGATTCCTAGATTGCACATGAACCTCAATTCTAAAATTTTCTTGCATTCTCTTAGCAACACCTTAATATTCACTATTTTTTTAATCTTTGAGCACTTTTCATGTTTGATCTCAAACATGTCACACCCCATGCTGCCCCTTCAAAATAACACATGGTATAATAAAGAAAATCATATAATTCCTAAAAATTCATAACACAAATCTTTTTAACTATCTTTATTCCTCTTAAAATAGAAATATCATATTTTCTTCACGCACTTTATATGTAAATAATTACAGAAAAACTAATCACCTAAAGGTATTTTCATAGCAACAGTTCAAGTACCTCTACTTAGGACTCCTCATACTACCACAAAACCAAACATAAATTTAAAATTTATGTGAGTCTAGTCAACTTTCACCTTATCCCTGCCCGTTATTGTAACAATATTCATAATAAAATATGGTGAGCAATAAGGTTCAGAAAAATATGTAGTTCTAATACCGTATTCAAATATATAAAACACAATACTTACTTGTGCATCAACAAGTGGAAGTAAGAACTGCATGTAACCATTCAAAAGAAAATACACATAGTATGAGCTTATTTAACAGGCAAAAATAATGTCGTATGTATGAACTATGCTCATCTGAACCAAACTTTCAACTGTCCCATAATGCTAGTATCATCACTACATGTCACATACTATCAACATCATCAATCATGCCAAATGTATTCAATCAGTAATTCATACATCATAATTTATAATCATCCTTATATCTTTCAATTCATCAAATAATTTCATTTTTTCAACCTTGGAAACTGTCATATCTACATGGTTAGGTCTAGGTTTATAGCCTATAGACACCTAAGGTTGCATTACCTCTATCTCATGTAAGCTTCATATGATAGCTCGTATGCTTTGTGATGCCTAGAATCTAATTTGAAAGAATTATTTATTTATCTTTTAATAACCAATGCTATCTAATTTCATCTATCAATAATAAGCAATAAAAATAAATTCTATAATTTAAAATATCAATGTACACATATATATTTAATTTTCTAAAGTCATATACACTACTCAGGATCTACACAATCATATCATAGCAACACTGTCCTAAGTGCAAAAGAATAGCTAAACTAAAAAGAAACAAAACCTGAAGAATCCAGATCAGCCTCACACTCCTAACATTTACCCTTACCTGAAAATATTTAACCGCATATAATGATCTAAAAGGCCCAACAAGTTACCAAAATCTATAATTAAATTCAAAGCATGACAAATGAGCAATATGCATGTCAACAGTCAAATCATGACTGTTACATTTATATGATCATTAAATCAATGTAGAAATATTATTTGAAGAACATGCATTTTAGTAATAATACTACACAAATAAAAAGTCAAAACTATCACGGAGTTTTTTAGTATTGTATTAGTATTAGTAAATCGTTGGCTCAATAATCAAAATCATCACTCTTTGCTTGCCATCATAAAAATCATCTCCTTATAACTCCTAATTAATATATCATGTGAATCGGTAAAGGATAACACAAAACCACAGTATTTAAAGAAAAACCCGTAGGCCCACCATCCCGTATAGATCAATTAGTCTCAAACTAATGGGTCAATCAGTCTTTACTTGTCATTTACACACACTTGATTGTAATAATACTATAACAATAATCTTAATTATATATCTACATTCATTTTTAATATATTACAGCAAATAAAATATAATTGAGCTTAATTTAAAGAATGCCAAAATATCATAATGGTAGGCAATAAAAATAATACTGAGCAAAAATTCACATTTTCAAGATTTAACCAAATTATCAGATATTGCATAAAATAATATTCTAAAGCTTTAGTTGAATTAAACCACTATTTTTATATTTCAAAATAAATTTATGAGTAGATAAAAATCACTGTATTTTTAAAATCACCTGGTAAAAATCTCAAATAAATATTAAAAATATTCATAATCTCAATATCTATAATATATAAAAAGTTACGTGATGAAAGTTTTACCAGTATAAAATTTTTCATATTTTTATAATAAAAATATAAATTTGATAAAAAAAATATCAAAAACATAAAATATTTAAAATCAGAAATAGAGTAAATATTCCTTACAGCGAGACAAAAAAATCTTCCAACAACATAGACAGGCGAAAAATCACTCTAGGGCTTCAAAATCTCAAGTTTCATTTTCTATCTCCTCACTTTTCTCTCACATTACCTAAAACTTCTCTGTTATGCCGAGATAAAGAGGTGAAAAGGGTTTAAATTAAATAAATTCTTAAAAGTTTAAGATATTTTATAATAAATAATAATAATATAATAATATATATAATATATATAATATTTAATTTAATAAAATTTTAAGTATAAAATTCCAATAATAATTTTAGGACTTCAAAAATTATAAAAAAATATATCATTTTATTTAAAAAATATCAATGAAATCGGTTTGTGAAATGGATACCTAACGATCCCAAAATCTTAACTTGTATCGACAAGTACCTTAAAGATTTTTCACCGGTGCCCAAAAATTATGAAAAAATCGTGCAAGTAAAATACTACAATAACAACGCTATGAAGAAGACGCTTTATGATTTGGAGTTATATTGACTATAGGAAAAGAAATATTTGTCAGTCAATATATGGGATATTACAAGCTCCTATGATCGCATTATCTCCATCAGGCATAGGCTTCATATCATATCTATAGGCTCTTGAGGTCAAATTTGCTCTGTCGCCCATAGACTTCATATCATAGCTTGTAGGCTCATGAGGTCACACTTACTCTATCGTCTGTAGGTTCCATATCATAACATGTAGCTAGGTTCTTGAGATCGCAATGCTTCTATCTCCCTTAGGCTTCAAATTAATAGCTTCTAGGCTTTATATCATACCAAGGTCGCACTGCCCATTATGATCACATTGTCCCATTTACTTACCACCTAACATGACACTTTCTCAGGCTTTTCGGATCATAGCATTTTCCCTTCCAAGTTATATGACACTCTCTTATATATAGAACCATGAATATGCAAACAATTTAATATAATTGTTAAGTGTATCAGCATATGGACAAGTATGATTGTATAAATATCTATCACAAGATACAATCTAATGGACTTGCACAAGACCAATCATAATATACGACAAATTACATATGATATGACTACATAAATTATAATTTTTAGCTAAACATAAATGTGTGATGCAGAGACCAATATTACATATAACTAATTAAATTCACTCGTATACAACTATACACAATCAGAGTAGCCAATTATATTAATAAAATTGCATACTTACATTATTGCTTCTCGAACTCACAAAATTAGATACCTCATGTGTGCATGTATGTATAGGACAACTAAATCAAATCAAATCATTAATTACTGATTCACACAATCTCCTCTCCAACTCATACAATTAATTCAAGTTCCAACTAACATACCTTTAAATCTTGATATATACCTTTTACTTATATATCCAAACAACTTTTTATATAATATTGAATCTTTACCTAAGCCTATAAACATGAAAAATTATTAGATGCGGAGTGCACACCGTCCGCACAAATACTGGGTACCTAACGGTACCCAGCGGTACCTAATTAGGTACCCAATGCATATGCGAACGGTTCTACTCATCCGCACTCCGCACCTAATAATCTCTCCTTAAATGGTCATTAGGAGACTGACACATTATATCAATTGTACTCAAGCTCATATACTTTCTTTAATCGAATGAAATCCTATAGCTTCTCACTATAAATTCTCTCTTATCTCTCTTTATCTCTCTACTTGTTGTCATTTCTATCTTATCATTCTTATTACTAAGATTTTAGTATCATCCATCGACAAAATTTGATCCCATATCCTAAAAAATGAGGTGAATGTGAATCAATGCCATATAATAGATACTAAGAATTGCAAGCATTATAGAAGAAATAGAGAGAATTTAGTGAACATAGAGTATTAGGATTTTCTCATCAATAAACAACATGTTGAAATGAAGGAAAGGCTTTCAAGGTTGATTCAAAAAGTATTGTAGTGAATTCTTAGAGACACTACAAGTGCTAAAATTCTTGAAGGCTCTTCAAACTTCTTTATACGCTGTCAACCTCCAAATTTGAGAGTATTGACTTCAACTCTTAGCACCATACGAGACATTTGTCCTTAAAAGCAATGAATAATTTACTCCCCCTCCTCGAAGAGTTGAAAGTGCAAGACTAAGACTTCGTTTGGGGACGACTTTCTTATTGTTTAAATTTTTGTATTAGAAAGTTGCTTTAGGAAACAGTAAGAAAGTCGTCTCAAACCAAGCCCAAGGCTTCATTTGGGACAGCTTTTTTATTGCTTCAAAAATTTTAATTTTTGTACTAAAATTCCGTTTTAAGAAGCAATAAAAAAATCGTCCCAAACAAAACCTAAATTATCAAATACAATTTTTAAGAGAGATCGTAGAGTAGCCTCCAACAAAGTTTAAAATTCCTTGCATGGACTCTTGTATGAGAAAGGCAAATCCGGCTAATAATATCTCTTTATATGAGCTCGACATTTCTCTACTAAATATCAGTGATGCATTGAAGTGCATTTCATTTTTTACTCTAAGAATTTGCCACTTAGGTGGTTCTCTGACCTTCCATTGAGAATAATTACTTCTTTTGCAAAGTTTAAGAGATAATGCATCACTCAATTCACCGAACTTTTATTACGTTCGGTGCAAGGATGTAGAGGAACGTCCGATCGGAGGCAATTTCCCGTCAAAAAATTAGGTATTTGCTCGGTACAACTAGGTATTATTTGATAATAATGAGGAATACCGTTCTCTGAAGACCAATACCGAGTTATACCGAGCTGTACCGAGAAATACCGAGTTGTACCGAGTTTTTTGGGGAAAAACTCGGCACAACTTTGGTATAACTCAGTATTTGCTCGGTAAAGCCCGGTATAACTCGGTATTGGATCTTCAAATGATGGTATTCTTCGTTATTGTTTGGTATTGCTCGGTATTTACTCGGTACAACTCGTTTTTTGGCGGGAATTTGCTTCCGACCGGACGTTCCTCTACGTCCGGTCGGAGTACGTAATAATTGTTCCAATTCACCAATGTGCATGAATAACCATAAAATTTTCAAGCCTGGTTGAAAATGAGGTAATAGAAAAGTTAGTCATAGTGGAATTTCAATGAAAGATGTGGGAATTGAAGGATTTGTAGTCTATTAATTTGTACTCACTCATATTTTATGAGAAGGATCTTTCTAATATATGCTTGGCTAGTAGTAGCCAAGGATTTTATTTGAGTTGCTCAAATTCATCAATAGTCATCTTAATTATGAGGAATATAGTAATAAATGTATTATTTCAAACTCTTATCGACTAATTTCATCTAAACAATAATAAAGAAGTTGCCAAAATTTGAAATTTGAAAGAAATCATTGACTAAACAAAAACCATCATCAAAATCTAAATCATTACACAAAAATCAATAACATAGTACGTAGTTGAAAAAGAACCTAAATAGAAACCACCAAAGATCCACCACTCACACTGATAGAAGTGGAAAGATTTTCCTTGAAAGTTATCATCAAGAGTGCTCAAATAATCCACATTGATAAAAATTATTTTTTAGAGAAATCTGCATGTTTATTAAGCCACTCCATGATTTTTAAAGGCTTAGAGAAGCTATTTTAAATCTAAGACTTCGTGTAGGATAGCTTTCTTACTGCTTTTTTTAAAGCAATTTTTTAGCCAAAAAAAAAGTACTAAAAAGTTGCTTTAAGAAACAGTAAGAAAGTCGTCTCAAACGAAGCCTAAAACAACCCAAAATTAGTAGTTTCTTAGAATCCTACAAGATTCCACTATATAAAAACTGATTTCTGGATCATCCACAATGAAAATCCGATAACTTTTGAATGCTGCAATAGGGAAATATATAGAATCAACGCATGAAAGAGAAATTATTACATGCGCAGTCTGAACGTAGTTTGCGTCAGAGCTTCAATCAGAACAGGCCACATCAGCCTGTACATAGCTTGTGTATAAATGACGTGGTCAATTCTAATTGGAGTCCGGACGCCGTCCTAAATGGGAAATGGAGCAGGAGTATCAGACATCAAACCACTAGAATTTCCTTCCAAATAAATGATAGAATCACAGTGTAGTAAAAATGCCAGTCATTAAATTTCAACCTTTTTCTATAAAGAAGAAATCTCATTAGCATCTCATGGTGTTATATGGATTATGGATAGAGCTATGAGCCTTGTGACTACGCTCTTGAAAAGTAAACATTGTTATTTGTATTGTAATTTGAAGGCGACCGAAAAAAAAAAAGGCAAGTTATGAAACTTCTCATATTAAAACTGTTTTGCAAAAATTCCAGCATAAAATTATAACACAAATCAAGGGCAATTTGAAGTTGGCCCCTTTCGCTAATATTTTCTATAGAAGAGGATGTGCCAAAGAAAAACTTGAAAGCTTGATCAGAAGTAATAACATGAAAAATTAATCCACATGGACTAAACTGTTGAAGAACAAATTCATCACCGGGGCTTCATTTGAGATATTTTTCTTACTATTTTTTAAAGCGGTTTTTAAGTACAAAAATTTTTTGTACGAGAAACTTTTGTACTGGAAAGTTATTTTAAAAAGCAGAAAAAAAGCTGTTCCAAATGAAACCTTAGACAACTATAAGAACTTGCGACTAGATACGACCACGGTATTCAATTCTCTAACCTTCACCAGAGATTGCCTAATGACTATGCTCTTGAAGAGGAGAAATTATTGTGTACGCAATCCGAACGTGTTCGGATGTGCGTACACACTGCTTATTTTGTTGCGTATTTTTTGATACATAATTTTTTCGTGATAAAATAAGTAGCAAATAATTAATACTCACTAAATACACAAAAAATACGTATAAAAATTATGTATCAAAAAATACGCAATAAAATAAACATTGTGTACGCACATCCGAACACGTTCGGATTGCGTACACAATAATTTCTCCTTGAAGAGTGAACATCACAAATTGCTTTTTGATTCTCTGTATTATAATAACTGTAGCCGCTAAATCGACTTCTTAAAAAGCCATTGGAATTCGATCACCAACCCTAACTATTGCAATATCATAAAATTTCCCTTCAATTATATCTATTACTTTGTCTAGAGATCTTGTCAAAGTAACATAAAAAATAGAGATATCTTCTAATTCCAGTTTTATCAATAGTGGTCAACAAGAGGTTGACATTTAGGTCAATTAAGATAAATTTAAACATACATCACATACACAAGACTGGAACCCAAAACCTCTTAATTGATAGCTAAAGCTCCCAACCAACAGACCAAGATGAGCTGCATTATTAGCACTAATGTCAGACTTCTTTATTTTGATCTTTACCTCAAGAAGAGGATAATCTTTTTGGACAAAACTATGAAGAGTAACATCCCCTATACACTGCAAAGTATTCGCCTATAAAAGATTTGGAGAAACATTAATCATAACAATGGTTGAATCTACGCTAATCTCGGCGTCATCTTTATTTTGATCTTTACCTAAACCCTAACTGCCAAATTGTTGATCTATTCAGTAGAACTATTCATTCTATACTATTTTTTTTTCTATCTTTCTCTCTCTATTTTCCTTTCTATCTTATCATTCTTATAAAATTCTGATATAATCCATAAATAAATTTGAATCCAGCACAAACAATTGATGGAGCTCATAAGTGCAATCCAAATGTTTTTGCATATGAGCAAACATAACAAACTAAAGTTACACTATACAGATATCAACATACTGTTCTATTTGTATTGATTTATACTATACATAATAATGTTCCTTAGAAAGCATGTATGTATATACATTACCCATCTAATTCCTTCATGGTCTTATAACAGATACAATGCTGATGCAGCTCTTATCATCGGCAACCGTGTCATTATCTTCGACAGCTGGTTCATACATGAGGCTATCATGTCGATGTGCTGGTTCATACACAAGGCTGTCATGTCGATTCACATCGGTTAAAGAATCAAGTAATATTCAAAAATGTATGAGAAATAAAAATATTGTGACAAAATTCAGCCAAATACTCACTTTACATCAGCCATGGAAGTTGCAATTAATGCATCTGCTATTTTGAGATAGATCAAACTTTTCGAACATATTGATTAAAAAACCTACACAAATGGTGGACTACTTTCAAGTTGGAAATCAAATATACATTTTAGCACTTAGATTACCAAGCTTGCAAGTAATCACTAGTCACACAATATCAGAAACATTATTATTCCATGCAAAATTTAAGTATTAGTTGCTGCCACAAGCAGTGACATATTTGTTGAGATTGACAAACCATGAAAAAGACTTCTTATGTCTCTTAATATGAGAAGTTGATTGTTGCAATCTTCTATTCCTTACAAGACTATGTATTTTATCGGGGTTGCCTTTGCAAAGGACAGAGTTAAGCTTCAAAGATGGTAATCTTTCGAAGCCAAGGAATCGAAGGGAGGAAGAAGCTAATAATGGGATGCAAGCGAAGTGGCGGTTGGACTTGTGCGACCGAGCGGTGATCGAGTTTCTGTATTCTATGTCAGTTGAGCAAGTTGATGACAATAGGCTCATTTTTGTGAGCTCCTTTCCCAACTTTGCTATATCGAGCTTTACGAACACGACAATGGCCTTGCGACATAGAGGACAAGCAATACAACCCGGAGGGCCTTGTATGACAGTTGTTGTTTGGTTGGTGGAGCATAGATATAATGCGCATTTGGTGCAGAACTCGTGACCACAACCTATAAAAACCGAAATAATGATGAATAAAAGGAGAAATCAAAGGATAAATCAAGTCTAGATAGTTATGATAGTTAAGTATTCAATTCTAATGGCTTCACCAGAAGTGAAACTTAATAGAAGTTATCTAAGAGAAGTGAATTATCAGTGCATAAAAGATTTAAACCTTCTGCATATACTGTGCATTTTCCTTCCAAGCAAACTACACATGGATCCATGCACGCAGGAGACTGGCTAAAATTGTTTCTCCATCCACAATCTCTGCACAAGGTGAAAATACAATCTCAACACTTGATTCATGCAAAATATCTAGGAATTGTAAGTCCATTTAGTTTTGACAATTGGATTAAGGAAATGTATAGGAATAGAATGTAAAAGGCATAACAAAATGAGATGAATGTAATATGTTTGAGAAGCAAAGGCTTAGTTAAGTCCATTATGAATCTACACAATTTATGTTCACTCTAACTGACTAACTAAAATGAAAAAAATTATATATATATGTTCACTCTAATGGTATGGTGATCATAAGACAGAAATAACAAACAATTGATGAAGTAAAAGATTAAGCAATGTACAGAAGTCATATATGATGATTTTTTCATAGTTGATTCCTAAGACATGCTTGAAATCATCATAAAAACTTTCACAAAAATATTTAACTTAACAAGAATGAAAGTTGTTGTTATTTGACTTTTAACGGGGCACGATGACGAGAAAAGATTCATGTAGCCAACCCCATATAGTGGGACAAAGGCTTGATGTTGTAGTTGTTTTTGTAACAAGAATGGAAGTTGAAGGATATTTCCTAAGAGAAACATCAAAACCCATTCGAAACATCATTATCAATTGCCCAATGTTATTAAAAGTGCGCAATAATGTTTGCTTCAAATAAGAAGGAAGGTGATGAGGACATCCGCTCTAATTTGTTTTTGTTGGCTCAAGAAAAATGGCACGAAGGCACGAATGCACTATAATCCCGTTTTGCAGCCGTAGGATTCCATTTCCCTTAAGTCAGATTGTATTTAACCAGATTTCCCCTGAGGGTAATGTCAGGGTTTAAAGATCTAGGGTCCTTACTTCTTATGAGCGCAAGCACTCATAGTTAATTACCCTCTTAACACGTAAGAGAGAACTTTCGATTAAGGATGAAATAATTTTAGGTATTTTTAGTCTCAATAGTGGAAAGATGGAGGTAAACCCAATCACGATCTCATGGTTCCGTCGTCCTGAATATAGCGTAGATTTCAGTATACCAACATTAAAAATCATTGATAGTAGTATCCAGGGAATCTGATTAGCAGCCATGGGTTGACTCCTCTCAGGGATCCCGAGTAGACTGAAGTAGTTAAATGTGGGTTTTAATTTTGTTAGGTGTTTTGGGGTTTACATCTATTAGAATACCCAAAGATTTATTTAGTTTGGGATTTATAACTTCATTTAGAAGTATCCTAGGGATTTGGTTTGGAGTGGGTCTTGTGGTTTCTTTAGGAAATATACCAGGAATTTAAATTTAGATTGGGATTTACGGCTTTCATAGAAAGTAGCTCGGGAATTTAATTTGGAATGGAGCTTACTGCTCAATTTATGAGTTGCCCAAGGATGGGTTTTACAACCTAACCCTATAGGCTAGGATGCCCGGAGGTTTTAAATTATTTGGGTAGGACTTATGGCTTCCCTTAGGAAGTAGTCTGAAAAGCGGATCTTACAACTTAATCCTTTAGACCATGATGCCCAAAGACTTTAATTACTTGGGTAGGAAATCCTACGATAGAAATTCCACATGCTTTCAACATAGGAATCATAATTATTATATTTCAAAATATTATTTAAAGATGAAATTCTTTCTTGAGGCTTTTGCCTTGATTTTTCAACAAAAGTTATTTCGTATGATTAAATTTAGATAGGGACTTACGACCTCTGCTAAGGGTAGCCCGAAGATTTTAATTGGGTAGGTCTTAGTACTTCCTTAGAAGTTGCCTAAAGATGGGTCTTAAGACCTAGCCCTATAAGCTAAGTGACCCGAGTTGTGGGTATTACAACTAAGCCCTATAGACTAGGATGCCCGGGTGAGGGGTCTAGGTTTGTGTTATCACCTAACCATTTCCTTCATAGGTCGGACTTACGACTTCTATTAGAAGTGACCGAGGGTTTTAATTTGGGATTAGGAGTTAGGTTAATTTTTACTTAAAACTTTTCACTAAGGTCGGGCTTATGACTTTCCTACAAAAGTTGCCGAGTAATGGGTCTTACAGCCAAGTTCTTATAAACAAGGCTGCCCAGTGGTTTGAATTTGATTGTTTGAGTGGACAGTAGTGTTTTGAGAGGTTTGACACTTGCGTTAGTGTTTTAGCGGTTCTGTGCTCGTAGTCTCTTTCCTACTATAGTAGTCCACTACTCTACCTGTTTTTCTGGCACTGCTACTTTACTAGCTTTTTTCGTATTTAGCTTTCCTTGCTTTTCAGTACTCTTTTATGCCTATAGTAACAAGATTTACCATGTTCCAACATTAATTTAATTTATTTTTGATGCACTGATTCTTATTTGCTTGTTTGAAGGTACATGGTACTTACAGCAGTTCAGGAAGAGCAAAGTGGTTGAGGATATTACTGAGGGATGGAGAGTATATTTATTTGAAGAACTTGTACAATTTGTTTGAGAGTTATTATTTGAAGAGGATTTTGGAGAGTTTGAGAGCCTGTATATATCAAATAATGGAAAAACATTATTCCCCCTCTTCATTTTATTTATTGCATTTTATTTTAAAAATTACTCCAATTGATTAATAAAAATGCGTTCAAATTTTAACTCAGATTTTAAATTTCTTTTTATATTTAAATTACTTTAGATTTTTAAAACATTCGACTTTACAAAAGCTCTCCTATTTTAATACTCTCAGTTTTTTTAAATGCTCTCGGATAACCAATTTAATTGAATTTGCCAATTAATTGATTTAAATTAAGAAATTTTAATTAGCTTTAGTTTAATTAGTTTCAATCAATTAATTCGTTCAATTAATTAATTTTCATTAATTTTAATTGAAAATAACTAATTAAAATTCACTCATTTCTCAAATTATTTCAAAGCAAATTTTCAGGAAATTTCGACAACCTCCCGACGTCTCCTCCCCACCGAGGGAGAAATCGGGACATCACTGCCGTAATTTCTTCCTACCAGGACCTAAGGTCGACAACGTAGAGTCTTCAATTTTGAACTATCCCGCAAGGATCTAAGATCGACTGTGTGGGGTCTTTGAATTAAAACTATCACGGCCGGATCTAAGATACGATGGCCTGGGGACTTTTAATTTAAAACCATCTGCCCGGATTAAAAATCAACGGCGCAAGTCTTCAAATTTTAAAACCATCCGCCCAGATCTAAGATCGATGGCGCGGGTCTTCGACATCTGTTTGAAAATCAAAATTCTCCATTCTTTCTCCTTCATTTTTTTATTATATATCCAATATTATATTATTTTTAACATTATATAATATAATATAATATTATATAATGTTATATTATCATATTATAATTTATAATATATAATATAACAAAGAGGGAGCCCAATCGGGCATGGGTCGGATTCAGAGGAGCACAGTCCAATAACCAGGAATAGGCCATAGTAGCAACGCGTGCAATCGATACACCTCAACGAGATTTAAGTCAGATTTACACTAAATCCAACCAAACGGGCTTTGTGCACACATTAAATTCGGGCGACGGGTAAATCCCTCATTTTGACGAATTTGTGGGATTTGACCAAAGAAGTGCGTGAAGGTAAAAAGTTACCTTCACAACAGGGAGCTCCTATTGTTATTTCCGATCAAAATGTCATTTCTTTCGATCCAACAGGAAGGGAAAGTTGTCGAAGGAGCAAAGTCGGGACAACCACGGAGGAGAAACAGAAGCAACGCGCGCAATCTTTACACTGCCTATGAAGGAACGAAGTCGGACGGCCACGGGGGGCTGGCGCGTGCGACCTCTTCGAACCGAAGCCGAACAATGACGATGGAGCGGAGCGGTGCGTGCAATCTCTTTGCCTCCTGCGAATAAACAAAGCCGAACAATAACGACCAAAACAGAAGATGAAAGGCGAACCCTAGACGCCTCTGTGAAGCAACGAAGTCGAACAACAATATTGGAGTCGGAGTCGGAGCGAATGAGCAAGCGTAAGTTAAGTTTTTTCGTTCTAACTTTCTTCCTTTTAACATGAAGCAGCAGTTATCGTGGAAAGCAATGCGTCGTTTTGGCGAAGTAGGTCAACAGAGGCGGTTGTTTGGGTTTAATTTTTTTGTTCTGCTTCTCTTTTTTTTATATTCAACAAACGTCCCTATTAATTTGGAAAAGTTGTTTCATTTGGATTCAAATTCAAATTTGAATTCTAAAGCTTTCCATATGAATAACGTATATTAGGAAACCTCATAAACACAATAAAATCTGAAATCAATTTCAGATTTAATGGCACTCCTAAATTAAATCCTTCCTGGGCCCACACTTTAAATGAAAATACCTCAAACTTCATCCTATGTGGCTGACCTCCTCTCTAGCCCCTTTCTCTCTCCAATTCGCCACCTAGACCCTCATTAAATCCCCATTAAACCTCCCTTGGCTGCCACCCCAATCAAGCCACCATTTGGGAATTAATTTGAATTTCAAATTAAAGTTTCCCTCCCTCTAAATCTAAGAATTAACTTCAAATATTTAACCTAGGCCTCTATACTTCAACCCTCTCCTAATCCGGCCCACCTTTCCCCTCCCACCCACGGCCAAACCCCACTCCCTTAGCCGACTTAATCACCCCATTCAAAGTTCAAACCCTAGCCTACTAAAACTGCTCTCACGGCTGTCCAGGGATTTGATGATAGGAATTTGCTGTCCAGAAAATTGTGGCCAACAATATTGTCAACAATTCCTCTCCTGCCTACTATCCAGCAATCCGTTACATGTTGTCCAAGGCTTTTCTAAGCCATACAATTTGCTGTCCTAATTTCCAAGTGCCGGAACTGCTGTCCAGGTCTGCGAAGTTGCTGTCCAGAATTATTTCAAGTGCCAAACTGCTGTCTTGACCTTTATGGCAGCTGTCTAAGACGTCCCTAGCTGCTGTCCAGCCATTTTGGTGACCTTCTATGGCTTTCCCGCTGTCCAGAAGGACTCTGATCACCATCGTGAAGTGAAGTTGCTGTCCACTCTTCCCCAAGCTCATAATCGACCACACCAGAATATCGTAACTCCCCTTCTTTGGGTAAACGCTTCCTCCAATT